TTGGCATTGGCATGTATCAGAATATGCCTTATTATCATCGACCCCCGGCATCTACTGAGGCAGCCGCAATGCTCTTGCCAGTAATGGTAGTGACTTCTGAGCTCTGAGAGAGAGAAATACATGTTCAGTGGAGAAGAGGGATACGGAACCTTCGCAGGCGTTCTTGCCGATAAAATCGATCAACACTATAGCCAGCAGGACCGGGAGAGTCTTCGGGAGGGGGTAGAAAAGAAGGCTCTCTGCCAGTTTTCACATAGCCCCTGAAAAACGTCAAGTATAACAGAAGAGAAAGCACCATACTGATGTTGCATGACTACAAGCCAAGAAATATACGATTCCACAACGTTTTCCGTATGGCTCACGATCGTCACTGATGACGAGCGTAGTTGAGCTCAGACTGACATATGATAGAATTCGACCAAAATGCAGAACAGGTGATTCGTTGAGAACACTCTACGGAAACCTACTCTGGGACAGATCGAATAAGTTGGTTTTACCCAGCGTAAACAAATATAACAGTCGTACAGCATGAATCAATATGCTTACCTGGCGAATCTCGGTCCGCGATCCCGCTGCAGAGCTGACGTCTTACTCGCATCTCCGTATCTGAGAGAAGCCGATTGTTAACCCCATCCATAGCAGTTCTCTTCCTTCTTGTTACGTGCCGGGACCAGGCGCTAATGCCCGAATAGCTCGCTCCTCATCCAAATACGTCGTCTTCGGACTCTTACTCATGGAGATCTACACTCAGTAACTCGACATGACCGCGCGCCACGAAATTCACCTTTCCCTCATCCCATAATCCTGATCCCGACGGCAGGACTTTTGGGTCGTACGAGCCAGGCGGTGGTATGGACTTCGCCTTCTTCAGCTCGAACTCTGTTGACCCCGGTATTAACAGCTTAGAATTGGATGTGGATATTTTTGGAGCTGGATTTTCCATCACACCTATACATATACAACATATGATTATAGTGCATCAACAACAAAACGTTAAGTGCATCCGCTGATAGGTTCAACACTAAATTCTACAGGTAAATTCCCGAGAAAAATCGCGAATAATTTTCCAATGGAAAGAATAGTCAATCACATATCAGGTATAATATTGGGAAAAGAAGAGTATCGATATCATGCACACACTTGTGGAATATACACGCTAATGAAAACCACAGTTAATGCTGAGACGATCACTGTTCATAGAGCGACTATAGTGAGCAGGGCCTGGCATAATCTGTCTTATATTCACCGGCTTTCCATTCAGGCATTCCTGCTGCTGTATTAGTATCTGATAAACCCAAGATGTCCCTACCAGGATTCGAACCAGGGACCTCCCACCTTCCGCTGAGCCATTAGCAAATCCTTCGTGAAGAGCATAGTAGAAATCTTCGCTTCTTTATCTTCAATCTCTCTACCAAGCAGATCCCTTCGATGCCGATCCACTCGTTCAACTGACAGACCCCGCAGGTCTCAGGTTCGATTCCCAGTGGCGGCGTTTTTACGTTCCTCTTTCCTTTCCCTCGCATCCATCAACTTCAAATGTGCAGTTTTCTGCTTCAAAATCCTACAACCAGTGGAATACCATCGAAAAGCTCTGTCATTATCAGCGTCTCACTGCTGTGCTAAATCAGTTTCTTTTCTTCGCTCAGCAGTGCTGATTTTCTCATCGAACCTCTCGCGTATCAACTGCCCTTGTAGTGCTCTCACCATTTCAATCTCGGCTATCTTGCCATTCAGAGCAGCCCTGCAAACTACCAACATTGAAATTTTACCAGTGATGTGAATAAACATATTTCATATTTCACTTTACGAAAAACGCATGTGAGCAGTGAATGACGAACATCACGTGTTTTACGTGATATTCGCGAAGTGCTATCGCCGCACTTCGCATCGCGAATATCACATAGTTTTCACATACAGTATAATGCTACTTCATGTAAAAAGGATTCAGCGTCTTAGTATGCTCAGTGATCTCCTTGCATTCGATCACATACACGTCAGGGCATTATCCAGAAACCTATAGTGTTTCCACTTTGAATTTTCCACGTATGGCTAAGAACATATTCTTGAGTCAGTAGAAATGTCATAATCACATTACGAACATCATTTTCCCCATTGCCATCAAACCCGGGGGAGTTTTATTTCTCAGAACTATACGGGTTCCCGATACACGTGGATAGAACGAAAACTTATCGATAGCCCTACCGTTTCTTCTCCTCTTCCTGGCTCTTCTCAGAGATAACCAAACTCTGTCCCATCTGCCACTCCCTTAGTCGCTGATCCTCCAACAACTCTTGTGCTGAAGCATCGGCCCGTCTCGTTGCGAGTTCCTATCAAACCAGGAAGCTCAGAAACCGGAAAGTCCCCGACAATGCTGAGGGGAGAGAGTAACCGTTGGCTGGATGTGTCAGCATGAGAAGCCTTCGACGGCAGGTGGCCGTAAAGCCTTCTCATGCCTCTCTCTCAGGTAGTAATCTAAAACCCTGGCGAGCGCGAGGAAGACTACTTCTGTTCAACGTTAGTTATCAACAGACGTGTGAATATGCACTAGAAGTTTGCCCAACGTTGAGAATTACACTAAATTCTAATATGGTCTACTATTTTCCAATTTACGGTGATACTACTGCTGTAATGGAGCTATGCTAAGCTCATCATCTCAATATACTGGAGTTTCACCACCCTAGTGATATGAAAAACATATTTCAAGACATTGTAACTCACCACTTCAAGTGACTGTAGCCGATTCCTATTGTCCTCCATACGCGCGTCGAGCAGCTCCTTAACGTGTTGCCCTCGTGCTTCTATTTGCTTCTGGGCTGCTGCGACTCTCTCTCGCCGATATCTGCAACAATGGAGTTTCACTATAGTGATATGAAAAACACTAGCGAAAAATATACTGGAGTTTCACAACCCGTTTTACGTGAAGTGGCGTTGTAAAACTGGGTGAAAAACGCGATATTCGCGCCCTGTAGTAGTCGTGAAATATGTTTTTCATATCACTAGGGTGGGGAAACTCCATTTCACGACTACTGCATATCACCGCGAATATCGGCTTTTCACGAAGTGT